GCACAGAAGTTCTGTATATACTATAAGCGTCCCCTTGCTTTAACCCAGTGTTATCCAAACTTGGCCACTTTAAGATAAGTGCTGGCTGGGGAATTCTGGGAGTTGAAGTCCACTCATCTTAAAGTGGCCAAGTTTGGATAACACTGGGTTAAAGCAAGGGGACGCTTATAGTATATACAGAACTTCTGTGCAGAATTAATTGTTTGGAAAATCAGCCCTGATCATTGGTAGAAGCGGCAGATCTGTTGGCCAATTAATTTGTTTTTGATACCTTACAGACCTGTGCACATCGCTATGAGAAAAGGTATTATGTCAACACCGAACAGGAAACCAGAGACATCATTGGGAGGTGCTACGTGCTGAGTCAGGATCTTTCCATTTCCAACAATGAGTATATGGATGGTGGGGAATGGAGTTTCTGTGATGGCCGATTGAGAGGCCATGAGAAATTTGGCTCCTGCCAGCAAGGTGTTGCTGCCACATTCACCAGAGATAATCATTACATTGTCTTTGGCGCACCAGGGACCTATAACTGGAAAGGTATAGCCTCTTTATGCTCCTATCATTCCTATTGTCTGTTTCCAGATTATATATCCTGTGTCCTACAAAATAATAACCACTGCCAGAAACCATTATGTACTTTGCAAACTCTTTTATGCTATTCACTTCAGAATCGAAGAACAACAAGCAAGTTTCTGGTATACTGCTCTTAAACATTAGAGGTTGAACTGGGGAAGGCTGTGGCAAGGTGCTTTAGAAGAGACAGTGGTATGCTGCCGGCAGGCCCTTAGCTTAAAGATGTTTTTCTGGGGATCATGTAGATGCCACGTGAGCCCAAGAAAAGATGCAGCTTCACAAGTGAGGCACTAACTGGTGTAACACATGCATCCTTGCCTGCTGAAAAGCATCTTTTTGGCTTCAGATCTGACACCCAGGACATCCCTAACTTGGTGGAATTTGATTTGATAAAGGCAGTCAGTGTCGATGAGGCTTTCTGGATATGGAATGGAATCTTCCAGCTAATCTTGAATTCAGTTTTCCTCAGTCTGGATTCAGGGACTGAGGGATTCAGTGCTATGTAACCTGCCGGACTCCTGGGAAAGGGATCATGACACTAAAACTATTTGGACACACCCTTAGAGCCAGAAAAAGCCTACACACAGAATTGATGTTCGAACCCTGAGGAAGTTTATACAAAGAGAATGTCTGTATATGCATATGTGTGTGTGTCATGTGCACACGTAACACACGCATTCAAAGAAGCATATCAATAGGCATTTGCATAAATTGCCTAGATTATTGCTGTTTTTTTTCATAGCAACCAAAAATTCCATTAACCTCATTGAGTAGAAAATTGGCTTGAGAGCCAAAGTAATCAGGAGAGAGAAACCTGCTGAATTTCATTTGGTGATTAAGCCGGAGAGCCCATGGCTTTGTCCCATCTTAGTTATGCTGAGAAGCTGTAAAGCACTGCTCCCTCCCTCCCTTCCTCCCCCCCCTTTTCTTTTTCCCTGTCCGAGCAGTGTGTTTTTCTTGCAGCTCTCTGTTGTACCAGCAGCTGTGGAATTCTCTGCCCTGCCTTTTTCTTCTTGTGATAAATCCTTGCATCGTACACCTGTGCCTGACACACAACCCCGTACAGTCTTTGTGCCTTGGCACAAGGTGTTCTCAAGTGAAAGCCTACCCGTCTACGTGCTGAGTTTTTGTCAAGAAAATTGGACTTTCCTGAGATGGGGTATCACATTGAGCCATTGCTGTACTTAAATTACAAGTACTTATTGCCACCGTACTTAGTTTTAAGAAGGTTTTTTCCTGGCCTGGGAAAATCATGTTTCTTTTGTGAGGGAATATTGTGCAGTGTACTCAGTGGTGTAGAAATGTTTGGGTTTTTAAAAAACTGAATGGAAATAAGTTGTCACGCTTAGTGGATAGTTTTTTATTTGACAGGACATTTGAATGATGGATATTTATAAATGTTCTGGGGTTACAGTGTGAAGAGCACTTTCTTGAGTTTATGAATGGATGTGCAAGCTGAACAACTGAAGCATGTCCAGAATGATCCTCTTGTTAATATGAAATACCATCTTTTATATCCATCAGGGATGTATGTTAGAGATAGGCCGAAATCTCCTTTGTGTTCTGATGCTGTTTTCTTCAAGGTGTTCTTGCCTTCCAATTTACTTTGGAAAATGTATACTATTAATATTGAGGTTGCTGCAAGCATCATTTGTTTACATTTTCAGACAACTTTTTTATACTTATTGTTGTCCATAGCAATACTTGAGATTGACCAAGTTATTTTGTCAGCTAAGGCAAAGAAGCACCTCCCCCACGGGATGAAAATGCAATTAGAATAAATAAGTGCAACCATTTTCTGTCTTTTGAGACACCCAAATCAACCGCCTTAGTCTGCTTTATTCAAGGGTTGGCACCATCACAGGTAGGCACTGTTTGAATTGTAGTATGGGAATAATTCTCTGGATGATCACATTAGGATTCCTTTTTTTGTGGAGACCTTAATGGTGCCTATCTGTGATGATGTGTGTTGTATGGGAAAAAATTGTGCAGATGGTTTTTCTGCCATGTTGTTCCTGTGTAGCGGTGGCAGCAGCTAAGTGAAGTCTGCAAATATCAACTGCAGGAACGGCAGATTGTTTACACAATTTGATGCCAAAATCAAGTTGAGGTGATTTGGAATCCAGAAATCCAGACATTGTGGCAGGAAGGATTTCATTGTGTTCCCTGCTGCATGCATAATAATTCAACCTCCAGGAATGCAATCTCATTGCCTGCCATGGAGAATTCAGATCAAGGCTAGAATGTAGGGATGCATTAACCAGGATTCAGCACAAACTGGTGACTTATTCACTGTATGTCCCAACTGCATCCCAAGCCTCCTTGGTGATAGGAGGAGAACGTAGGAAACCATGGAAAGCTGGTTTAGGCTGAATCAAAGCATTGATCCATCTTGCTCTATACTGTCTGCTCTGACTTCCTGGAATTCTTCCGATTCTCAGCAGGTCTTTCTGTTCTGCTTCTTCATTTGCTGTCACCTGTGATCTGATACTTTCCACTTGACATGCCATCACCTTCTGTTTGCAAAGCATTTTTTCTGACATGGAGCTACAGCTGCTCTCTGAGGCTTCAGGGACATTCCTCAAAATCCCACAGATGAATCTCCTCTGACATCAGCACCTGGGCCTCTCAGAATGTGAAGCTCTTAAAGAGTTTTGCCATGCCATGCCATGCCATGCCAGTCCATCCTCTCCAGTGTCCCTCAGAGAATTAGAAAAACATGCAGCAACTGTATTACGTATGGCAGGAAAAGATCATGTTTCCTGAGATGTCCAGACAAGAGATTAAGTGCTGCTTGTATTTTGAATGTCTGTGCACTTTGAACTTCAGAGAAAAATGTGTAATCTGAAGAAACTTGGCTTTGAATTCCAAAAAGGTTTATTTAAGGCAAAAGGAGGGTAAGATCCTATGATTTTTATGACACTTTAACTCCTTATTAATGCCTAAGTTAATCTCCATTCTGGACTTGACCCAGCTTTTTCAATTCTTGATCATCATTCCTGTATTGATACACCTAGGCACAGTCAACATACTGTACCCCATTAAGTTTCACACTAGCTCGAGAGACCTTTTTCCCCCCAGGTACCTGAAATGCCTGTTGATTTCAGTATTTGTCACAACTCTTACACACTCCTCTCCCAAGTTTGGTTCCTAAGATCTATAGCAAATTCATAAAAGGAACATTTTCTATCCCTTCCATCTCATATGCAGCCACCTAAATAATGTGAGATGGGGACAGGAAATAGATGATTGTGGTGAAGGAGGTGAAACATTCAAAACGAATAGGGCAGAATATTGTTTTGTGGTAGAGCACCTGCTTTTCGTCACTAAGCCAGAGGTCTAATTCCTGCATCTCCAGATAAGAATGGAAGACTCCAGCCATTGTCCACAAGGAATGATTTGACTCTACAGAAACCAGTTCCTTCTGTTCTAAAGCTGTTACCCCAGCTGACCGACCCTCCATGCTTCATTCCACTCCCACCCAGGAGGATTTTGGAAGAGTGACTCCAGCCACAAGGAGAGAAGAAGTTAGGAAGCTTTGCTTTTGTCAGTTTACTTAATTTATATTAGGCTCCAGGATGCCCTTTCCCCCTTTTAAATTTAAGGGGAAAGAAATGGCTTTCTGACTGTCACAAGAGTTAGTATTCTAGCTGTGAAACTGATTTATTTTGGGAATGTGTTCTTCTTTCCCCAAAAGCTTAATGCAACTCATACTCATTTTCAATCTGCATCTTCATTTTCAAGTCCTCTGGGCATCTGTGCTCTCCTGACTTGTGTACTCTTGTAGAGCTCTGATTTCTCTTTCCTCCCATTTCTGTTCCTTCCTGTCTCTTTAGCAAACTTGATTCTGCCAAAATAATCCAGACTCTGCAGCCCATCCTATTTTCTCAAGTGGAGTGCATTTTGGAAGTGTGTGCATCCTACATGTTTACTAGCAACACAGTATGCTGGTTTTTGTTGTTTGTGCACATTGCCCTGATCCTGTCTTCCAGAACCTTTCTTTAACCATTCATGTTGATTATGTCATGACATTCAAATCAAGGATAGAATTGGGCTCAATTATGGCCACTCTCTTTCACTGAAGTTTCCTTGCCCCTTCCATTTTAAAGTTTTCTATTTTATTTAATGTTCCCCTTTCCTTTAACATTCATTCCATCTTTTGTTTTTGTTCTGTTTTGCCATTTCATTCTTCTAGGCGTGGTTCGTGCAGAACAAAAGAATCACACCCTTGATGAAATGGGCATCTTTGATGATGGGCCTTATGAAGTTGGGGGTGAAAGCCTGCGAAAGGAGACCCTGGTTCCTGTTCCTGCTAACAGTTATTTAGGTAGGATTAAGCTCTTCAGAGAACTCAAACGAAAAATGGCCATCTGAATGGTCCCATTCAAATGCTCCCAGAAGGTAATTCAGTTATGGAAGCCTTGCATTTTGATCAAAGCTTTAGCCATTCATCCAGCCATCTTTAGGCCTTCTCCAGAGCACAGATGGCACTCTGGCTGTAGAATCCTTAAGAGCCACTGATGTGAAGAGAGATTTAAGAGGTGGAATTGTGAAGTTGCCAGTTCTTATGCTGTGATTATCAACTCACTCTCATGTACAGGAGCTATGGTTTGAGGATCAGTAGATCTGTGTCACATGACCTCAAACACCGAGCCTCAGGAGTTCTGTTAAATTGTTGGTTGCTGAATAGGATACAAGCCTATCTGCAGCAAAAGTATCCAAGTAGCACTCCAGGATCATCCGCTTAACTCCTGAGGCTTCCCTGAAACATTTAGTGGCTCTCTTGATAGAGTTCTGCAATGCATGGGAATTGCTAACGTGCTTTTAGATGCTGGGGGGATGGGAGACATTGAACATGGTTTCAAACTAATGACTGTTTGTATGGCACTCTCAAAAAGATGGCAAAACAGTTGTTCTTAATGTAAACAGTGAAGAATAAGCACAGCTCTGTGTAGCTTTGGTGACTACACCACACTGGATCCTGATGCTGTAAGTACATTTGGGTATACAAAAGGATGCAGTATGTGGTAGACCAATAAATACCTTTGGGCATTAAAAACTGTTCTATAAGATGGAAGCTAAAGGTTGTATGAGGTGTGAACTCTTCCAGATTTACTTTGCAATCTGGGATCACTTTATTCCCCAAGCCTGCAGTACCTGTGATGTGGAATGAAGTGGTGTTCTTATGCACAGTCACACACACCTTTCTCCATCCCCACCACAACCTCACTTCACCTAGCAATAGGCTTATTTCACTGCTCTGACTGTAGATCCAAAGGATAGGAATGGAAGAATATTTTATTCTCTATTCTGAAGATGATCTCTCCAGTCCTATAGTTCTCCTAACTTAGGAGAACTCCACTTACGGTCTTGCATAGAAGCCATCCCCCAAGCCTTGTGTGCCCATCAGCAGGTTGTTGCTTAATTATAATTTCTAATGGGATGCAAGATTATTAAATATATGGGGAGTAACCATATTAAGTATTTAATTAATATAGTTTAATTTTAGTTACAATTAACAATATATTAAATCAAGTTTGGTTTGGGCCTGAGCCTCCTCAAACTTCTGGTCACTGTTGGAAATGATAATTATTCAGCATCCCCCCTTAAAACCCAAGTATGGACCTTGTCCTGGAAGAAAATAAGTACACTCCTGTTCTAACAACATTGGATTGTTGCTGATATTGATAATGTTAGAATATTGGCCTGAGAAGACCCAGCTTCAAAGTCCCTGTTGGACCATGTAGCTCTTAGCTCAGCCTACTTCACAGGGCTGCTGATGTGAGGATAAAATGAGGGATACCCCCATCTAAGTTGCCTTGGGCTCCTTAGAGCTCAGTTACCTAAACTTGCAGGTTTCCCTAGATGTCTGAGTTATCTATTTCCTCAAATGTAGCTCCGCGTTTTGAGGGTTTCACATTGCAGTTGACAAAGGTTATATTTTTAATGTTCATAACTCAAAACTGATGCTAACTCTAATGAAAACTTGGACATTTCTGGAGCAAAAAAAAAGACTCAAATTTTCAAGAATGGGTTGAGTTATGGCTAAAAAGAGCCCATAGGTGTTATGGAGTAACAGGTCTTAATCTATATAATTCAAGAAGCAAATTTGTTGCTTTTTTAAAAAAACCTGAGATGGATCTTTTGATTGAAATACACCAGAGCAATTTAATTCCATATGTACTCAGGAATAATATACCCATTCCCCAAATCCTCATGTGATAAGCTTTCTTTTCATGCTTCTCCTGGGACCAGAGATTTCTATAAAGTGTTCAAGATAGGGTATAAGAATTACTGAATCAGTACAATGAAGGTCTATGAATGCATATTGAGAATCACTGTTAATGTGGCTTAGAACATTCATGGGAGGTGACAACAAATTAGACTACTTATTTGTTCTTCCTTGTCCTCCTTTCTTCTTCTCCACAGGGAGAAGTCTTTTCTATCACCTGGTGCTTCATTCTTTTCACTGGAGATGCTGGGGATTGAGTGGGATTTTCTATAAGCATTGTGTCTGCCACTGGTTCCTCTGTTGCTAGTGCAGAGAACATCTAAACCTATCTTTCACAGTTAGTATGGAACAGGAAGGTGAAAGCTGGGGAGAAAGCTACATAAAATAGTTTTCCACAAATGAGATTAAAAATAAGTGTGGCAAATGACATTTAGTAGTGTTTGCTAATGAAAAAATACATCAGCTTTATTTACATTCCAGAATGTGTTATCTGTAGACCTGACTTTCTAACATGGACATATATTGGGATTACAACTCACAAAACTCCCAGCCACCATGGCCATTGGAATTCTGGGAATTGTAGTCCCATAGCTTGTAGAGAATGCCAAGTTGGAGAAAGCTATTGTTAGCTATCCTGTTGCTTGATTAATGCTCTATACTAGGGGTTGGCAAATTATGGCCTTAGGCCAAATCCAGCCTGTTGCCTGTTTTTGTATGGTCTCCATGCTAAGAATGGATAGGCTAGCAGGTAGCAGATTGCCAGGCTTGAGCCTCAGCCCAGCTCCTGGGGAGAGGGGCAGGGCCGAGGGCCAAGGGTGGGGTGTCCTATGTGGCAGCAGTGACCTATTGGCAGCCTCTTGCTGGCAGGCCAGTGCTGTCCAATGTCTGTCATGCTCCTTGGCCTGGAGACCTGCTGGCCGCTCCCACGGAGGCAGAGGAGGGGCAGGACCTGGCCCTTTACAGAAATACTGTAGTTTGCTGATCCCTGCTCTATACTATCACAGTGTATTTCTTCACTATTGTCCTTTATTTGTACCCAAGCGCTTCAGCTAGACTGCATGGAACTGTCTATTTTTCTGCTTGCTGCTTAACTTGTCCTCCTTTCTTCTCTGTCTTTTCTTTCTCTAATCATTGTTGCAGGTCTTCTGTTTATGACAAGCGTGTCTTATGCCAACCCTGATCAGTTTGTGTACAAAACTCTGCCGCCCAGTGTCAGAGTAGACAAACCTGCCGATTTGATGATGAATAGCTACTTAGGTTTGTGACTTCCGAAGCACCAACCCATCTGCCTTCATTCATGACACTCCAGAGATCATTATTTGACTTCCATTTCAAGTCAAAGCATGTCTGAGAAAAAGTGCAGATGAGATGAGAGACTTACAGAAGATGGTGCTTTGGGTAAACAAAACTGGAAGCTATCAAATGCTCGCTTAGCCAGAGAGATGATAGTGGAATCAGAAGACCTATTAGAAATGTATCCTATGGAGCCATGGTCATCCTTTGGGTGACTCCCTTACCAAACAAATAAAGGAAATAATTGGGTGAACATAGTAGCACCAAAGAAAGTGCATTGGAATATTTAGTAAGTACGATATGTCATCATCACCATCTTACCCAAACCTCTTATCTCACAATGCTATTCTCAAATTCAGAATTGGAAAGGCAGTGGTGAAGCAATCCAGGGTTTCCTACAGGGCAAACGTTTTTGTTTCCAGCACATCGCAATTTTTATCTTGGTATGAGAAATTTTTTTTTAAAAAAACTAGGAATTAAAAAATACATAATTTGTGGCACAAATTCACTTTAATGCATATATATATTCTTTAGAACTGAATTTGATGCAGATGAAGTGGGGTAGAACTACATGTTATACATAATGTGGATCTGTCATTAAAACCTAAATCTCTGGGCCAACGTGCCTGCCCCATCCCCCATATGATATTGCATATCCCCAACACCTCTTCCATACCTTTGATGATATACATTGTTGGTTATATGGAAATGTTATCAAATGGGGTAGGTGAGAATAATACATTCTAATGGAAAAGGGAAGTTAATTCAGTAGGGGGATCCACTGTTAGCAGCAGCCTTGTGTTGTGCTCTAGTGGCTTTTAGTTTATCATTGCCTTTATGCTCCCTCTTGTATTTGCTTAAAAACCAAAGTTTTAAATTTCTTCAGCAAATCACTCATTTAATGACAGGCTTCCTACAGGCATGACAGGAAGTTTCAGCTCTCCAGAGATTGATACCTTATTCAGGAACTGGCTTACTTGGAGATGAGCTGAACACATCTTCTTAACATTTATGTGCTGGCTGGCCCACCCATTTTTCCAGCGTTTTCCACCAGCTTGTCTGTTTATCCCAATCTTTTCAACATCTTGTTACTGCACCCTCATCTTAGTATCTTCCTGCTACTACCACTGATTTTCCTGCTGACCTACCCCTCCATCTTAAAAAGAATTCTAACAACTGCTTTCTGTGAACTGGATCAACTCAACTAGATAACACTTTGGGTCTAATTAAACTCTTCCTCTTCCCATGTAACTGACCTTTAAGGTTTGGGGTTTTCTTTTGAAAGAGATGGAGTAGGTTTTATTTCTTTTTAAAATCGCATATGAGAGAAGCAAGTGTTGTTTACTTTTAACAATCTCTTCCTTCAGATTTGGGTAATGGGTCTTTTTTGTTCCCTTAATACAGTGCATGAATTCAAGACTAATTGCTTCACTTTTAATCTCATCTAATTTCTAAATGTCTAAATAATAGGTGCTGGGGCTTAACATTGTAGAGAAGGTAACCTTACCCATGACCCCATAGGAAACAGTCAGGGTTTCTCAGTGGAAAAACCGTAGGGCTTTGAACAGCATTAAAGCTATCATCCCTGCTGAATGGTGGAAGGAAAGAATGCCACCTCTTCAAGAACTGTCACTGGAGCCAGTAGGGGCCCCTTCAGTGGTTCTGTCTTGCTTGGGTTCAATTTTAGCTGTTTCATTCCATCTGCATCCAAACATTCTCCAGACACTAGTTCAAGATATCTACTGCATCTCCAGCCTAGCTCAGGATGGAGAGGTACAGCTGAGTATCATTGCTATTCTGATGTATCTCACCCTAAACTGATGGATAACTTCTTCCAGTGGTGTCATATAAACATTAAACAACAGGGGGAAGAGGACCAAACCCTGTGCTGCCTCACAACTGAGGACCTACCAGGCCAACCTCTTTTCCCCCATTGCTACCAACTTTACTACTTACTCAGGTAAGGATAGAACCAATAAAGTACAGTGATGCCAGCCCCCAACAGTTGCAAGTGGTCCAGGAGGATACCATGGACAGTGGTATGAAGGGAATGAAAAAGCACCCCCACCAAGAAACCATCCCCATACCTGATAGTTTTAGTTAACTGTTTAACTATTTAACTTACTAACAGTGGGAATTTACAAGGACCAGGAGAGATGTATTCACCATATTCAGATCCTAACAAAGCTCATCACCCAGAGCAACCAAAGACAACACACTGTCTGAATCCAGACTGAAATAGATCTAGATAATTCACTTCCTCAAAAGCATTTTGTATCTGATATTCCACTTGTTTCTCAACAGCATTCTGAAGAAAGGGAAGATTGAGACTCAGTGATAGTTAACTAAAATTGTCAGGTACAGGGATGGTTTCTTGGTGGGGGTGCTCTTTCACCCCCTTCATAGCTGGTGAAAACCCCCTTTCAGTGAGCCCATAGGTAACAGAAGTCATGCTAGATAGCACCTTCTCTATCAGAGTCCACAGGCTGAAAAGAATCCAGATAACATTGCAAGACATTGTTCAAGGCATCACGTTGGATTCTGCTCATGAAGAGTCAATATTAGAATGAATTTGAGTGACTTTATCAGCAAAATATTACACTGACTGGTCCCAGCAGCCAGGCTGTAGTTCTTCCTGCTCAGTGTTCCCTAACGGAATAGGCAACCTTAAACAAGGCCACTGGAAGGCAACACACTGATGCAGTAAGAATGGAGAAGTAAGCACACATCTTATTATTCTTATAACCATGGTGTAGGCTTCAACATGAGCTTGTATCTGTGCTTGGTCAGATTCACTTCTCACCTTCCTCTGCCAGCATGTTTTTTCTGTGGCTTCATTTCCTGGAGGTCCTCAGTAAAACAAGAGACTTCCCAGGATCAGCTAACAGCAAAAGGCCACTTGGGAGCAATTATATCAAGAACCTTGGTTGTTTCCTTGCTCCAGGCATAAACCTGCCTCTGAGTAGAATTGCTTTCCAAATTGTTGGGAAGGTCCCCAGGTGTTCTTTGGAAAGGGTCCTGATCCATTTCTGCCCACCCCTTGCCTAGGCTGTCTGGGTCTTGAAACAACCAAAGCTGTCCCCTCCCCCCACCCCCAGCATCCCACTTCTGTAAGCACCAGGCATCTCTCACCTTTGTTGCTGTGGGGCAGAGATTAAAGATGATACTTGCTCCCAATATTTACAGTTCTGACAGGAAGGAGAATTAAAAAAAGGAAAGGCAGACAGGGAAGCACCTGCTTTATAACTGCTCCTCAGTGGATTGGAGGAATGGTAAAACATCAGTTAAGTGGCTAAGGATAATCACTGTGCATAACATGTAGTTCTGTTCAGAGCATAACATTTATTTAAGCATGTAACTTTTCTGATTTTTTTGTTTTCACATTCTTGAAGGACTTTTTGCAGGTGCCACTGGTAATTTCACCACTGCTGTTTTGGTAACTCAAAGTTCATTGGTGCTGGGACTGTGTGAGTCCTATAAAAATGAATGTAGAGTGATTGGCAAATTAATCCTAACTTGACATTCTTGGCAAAGCATGCCCTTTTTGAGATGTGAGAGCATGAGCCATTTTCCATGAGGGTGTGAACATTCATTGAGCATCATGGGTGTGCTGTAGGAAAAGGGCAGTCATTTTGAAGAGCATGTAGTTTTTTTCTTACAGTTTACTATTCACGGAAATAGATTGTATACATAATTAATATATCTGAGAAGATGCACAAAGTTGTCTTTGTATGTACTATGTATATATTGTATGTGTGTGTGTGTGTGTCTATTAGAGGTTGGGAAATTGCAATCTGTTGCATCTCTGGCTTCTTTATCCTCTTCCTCTTCTGTGTGCTACTTTTATGATGCGTGTCTGGATGTGCAAGAGAGCAAATAAATGGGTGATATATGTGAAAACAAATGAATGGATGCCTGAGGTGCACATTGATGCGTTGAAGGATGGATCCCATGTAGACATAAAAGGTCTACATGGGATGCAGTGTTTGTGTCTCTGGGTGTGTGAGAGGGATGGAGTGGAGAAAAAATGGTCACTGCTGTACCACTTTTTCTGTTTCAATCAGCTTTATCCAAACCAGAGGGGCTGGGGACAGTGGGAATTGTATACAGCAGGTTTGGGTAGATGGGGAAGGCCCTTCCCAATCTCAACTGTCCTACTTTGTTACTCTTTCTCTTGCAAAAAAACAAGGGGAGAAAGAAGGTGTGAGGGGGGTAAAGCTGGTGCTGATCTGAACTCTGGCTTTACTCACTGGTGACCCATAGCTTCCCAAGAGATTACTTCTAAGGAAATGTGGGCCTCCACAGAAAGAATCTATCCTGAGATAGATACTGTGTGTGTATGTGTGTGTATGTGTATGCATTGCATCTTTGCCTTTCAACATTTGCCGGCAAAGAGAAGTTTGTGCTTTGATGTGCCCAGAGGTCAGGGAGTGGGTTTTCCTTTAACGGGGGGCCTCCTGTTTAAAGGGAAAGAATTCCTTGTGATCTGAAGTATGTGTCGGTATACCTACTGCACTCTCCTACGCCCCCTTTGACATAACAATAGTTGCCCAGGCATTACAGGTCACAGCGTGAGGCCTTCAGCTGCACATTTGTGTTCTGTTTTAGGTTTTTCTTTGGACTCTGGGAAAGGGATTGTTTCTCAGGAGGACATCACTTTTGTTTCTGGTGCTCCGAGAGCCAACCATAGTGGGGCTGTGGTCCTTCTGAAAAAAGACAGTGACGTCCAGCGGGCCTTGTCCCCTGTGCATATGTTTGAAGGCGAGGGGCTGGCCTCTTCCTTTGGCTATGATGTGGCAGTTGTGGACCTCAACAGTGATGGGTGAGATTCCTCTCCTCTCCGCCCCCCTCGGCTCCTTTTCTGTGGTGTGTGATCTCATCTCTGGCAAAGTGGGAGAAAAACTGGGCTCTTTCCCTGCAGCTCAGAAACAGCAGAGGGCAACCACAGCAGTATGCAACACCCCCTGTATGCCTTTTGGAAAATCCACCTGCCAGATCTCCTATACTTTAAACTAAAGATCCTGTCCTCCAAATACATGCGGCAGGTATCAAGTTCAGGAAGGCTAAGGGAGACAATGATAGAGAGCTTGGATTTTATACCTCTGTGTTTAAATTATATCTTGGTCATGAATTTTATCTGAACCACACTTAACTTTGTGGAGTGATGTCCATGTTTACTCAGAAGCAAGTCTATGTCCAAAAGAGAGGAATCTCATAAATGCCATGAGATGACCACCTGTTGGAATTGTAACAACCAGCATTGCAGGACCCTTGTGATAATCAACCACTGACACACTACTGTAAAGCACTATAATAGGCTTCCCCAACTTGGTGACCTCCTGATGTGTATGACTGTAGTTTCCATCATTCCTAGCCAGCAGTGGCCCTTCATTCTTGAAACTTTTGAACCTGCACTAAAGGGATTTTTCTCTGCAGATGGTTCTGTGGACATGGTGGTTAGCACTTAGCTGATTTTGGCTGATTGCAAGAAAGAAAAGCAGGATTAAAGTTGGTTAGTATTTGGAAATTACCAGAAAATTCCAGGGTTATAGGTAAAAGAAGAAGCTTAAAAATGACCTGGTTGAAAGCAAGGATAAACTTTCAGTTTCAGCATTTCAGTATTCTTTTCCCAGAAAGACCTCTATGTATCCATGAAGTCACTAGGTATCCAGCTTGATTCAAGGGAATCTTTCCCATTTTGCAGTGTGCATTGAACAGTGATCATTTGACTGATCTTATCTCTTAGTAACTGTCTGGGAGTATGTTTTTTGGGGGGGGGCTTAAAACCACTTTTTGCTCTATTTTTCTCAGTTGGCAAGATATTGTAGTCGGAGCCCCACAGTATTTTGACAGAGATGGAGAAATTGGTGGTGCTGCCTACGTGTATATTAATCAGGAAGGCAAATGGGACAGGGTAAAGCCAATTCGTCTCAATGGATCCACAGACTCCATGTTTGGGATTGCAGTCGAAAATGTTGGTGATGTTAATAAAGATGGCTTTCCAGGTAAGCAGGGAAGAAACATGTATGCATTGTATGGATTTGAATGTGTATGGATTCTTTGTTAACATTTAGCAGTTGGCTCAAATTATCCATAAACTTGAATCCAACATAATGCTTAATCCATAGTCTTTGGAGCCAATAAAATTCTCTTTGTTCATTTATTTTTTTCTGTGGCTTGTTTATCATATTTATATCCCACGTTTCATTTTAAAATTGGTCAATGCAACTGACATAAAGCAGTGAATACCATGAAATACTGGACAGTGTTTTCTCTAAAATCCACAAATTTTGAAACCTGCATTTATCCTTAGAAAATTTGCACCTTGCAAAACTTGTTCTTTGTGGCATATTTTAGAATTTGATAGTTGGAGTTTTAGATTTGTTATTTTACAGTTCTCTCTCTTCCTGCTAAGGTTTGTATGCTTCCTTTGTTATGTCTTACATGGACAATTCATGAAGTTTTTAGAAATAAGGAAGATCACACTGAGCATTCTGGTTTTTTTCCCTCTCTTCCTCTTTTTAAAAATACAGATATTGCTGTGGGGGCTCCATATGATGGAGATTTTGGCAAGGTATATCTCTATCATGGCTCCAGGAATGGAATAAACACAAAGCCAGCACAGGTACTAGCTTGCAACATTTGCTTCTGTGCATAGTGAAACTACATTACTCACTTGTTCCTGAACAGCTGCCCAGTCACTGAAGCCACCAGCTTCCATCACTTACTGGCTTTTTATGCTATGTTTACTTGGTCTAGTGTTGTATTGCCCTCTGTGCCCTTCCTATAGCTTCTCCAACTTGATTCTCTCTCATTATGTTGGACTTGAATGCTCATCATTTCAACCAGAGGATTGCCTGGCCTAAGATTTTGGGATCTTCCTTCCTACTTCCTTTCTTTCAGAAGGGCTGGTCAGTTTCTTTTCTACCTTTTATCCCTGTTTTTAGCTCTCTGCAGATCATTTCCACTCTATATTCAGTGAATATGTGAGGAGGATGTTGGATCATAATCAGTTTGCCATGTCATACATCACCTTCCCATGCCCTTTTATGATAGCATGAAAGGGGTTTTCTATATCTGTAGAATTCCTGTGTGAGTTGGAATCTTTTGTCAGTCTTGAACTTGTCTTGAGGAATTGAATGGACTTAGGTCTCCATTCATGCTACCATGACATGGACTCACAGGGCAGTGCAGTCAATGAGTAGAAAATACAGTTTTGATTCTCTCCATCAAAACTGCTGTTCCAACCTGGTAGGAAGGGAGGGCGGGCAGTGATGAACTTGGGAGAACAATGCAGGGTTGGGAAGAAGTTATGGCACTGGTAGAGGGAAGGCAATGCATTGTGTTGCACATTGCAAATAACATAATTATTATGGAGAGCAATGTTATTGACGGTGCATCACTATTTCCAACCACCACACCTCCAAAAAGAATGCTCAGGAGCCAAAATGTTGGGAACGGGGGAACCATATGTATTCCCCTTCCTATTCTCTTTTTTTCTGTGCTCCAGTTTTTCATGTCTTTCCATGCGAAGTTTGAAGGGTAGAAAGGAGAGGGGGGAAAATACAGAAACATGCAGCATATAAACATTCCATTGACACAAGGAAATTAGATATAGTCTTGGGTTTTTTTCAAGGGCTGCCTCACTTGCAGAAGCAACATGTGTTGCTCTAATTTAGGTTGCTTAAATGAGCCTGTTGACTACCAACATTTAAGCATGGGTCCTTTCCTGCCAGATTTGGGAATACTGTATTTTATTTTTCTTTCGCACTCACGATTCTGATTGTTCTTTTCTGTTTAGAATCATATTTTTTCTTATATGAGCATGACCTCATATAAATACAGATATAATATCTCTTAATTGCCACTGATTCTTCCATTTTGATTTATAAGGTTTATACATTCAGGAAATCTGGGGAAGATTGATTATCTTTTCTGAGCATTCATCAATAAATTTTTCACTTTTAAGTCAATAATTCTGATAAGAGCTTACTATTTAGACAAGAACGATGAAGAGACGCTCTCTTATGCATGTATAATCAGTTGTGGATAGCAACTGGGATGAATTAGAAACTGTGGACAAACTAATTATGGGGATTAAAGAGTAAGTCACAACTGGCAGGTGGGACAAGGTTAAAAGAATACACCCTTGTTCAGAAGGGTTTTGTTGTTTGAACAAAGCTCAGTTCAACCAGAATGTTCTTTTATACTGTTTCCTGTGTAGGAAGATGCAGTGGCCAACATAGGAGAGGGCCTAAGGCTTGAAAGAAATTGCCACTTGCAGTCCAATGATTAATCCATCCTGTTCCATTCATTCTGCCTAGCATACTCTCGATTTTGTTCACCTATTTAATAGGTGATAGAAGTGCCAGTCACTTTCCCTCAACCCTAGACTTGGAAGCTGAAAAACATCCCAGAAGAAGGCAGTGGCAAACAACTTACACAGTGTTGCCAAGGAACTGCATGGACTTGTCTGGGAAATGGCCAAGATTGACTCAAAGGGACCTCCCCACAAATAAAGAATTGTCTGTAAATGGGGTCACGGCTGGGGGCTAAGTGATGAAAGCAGTGTTGCATTGTTGTTATGCAAGCTGTGGCCCTTCTGTACTTGCATTATGATATCATGTGCATGCACAAAAAGGAGGGAGCTTCCAGCGCAATGCTGCTTTTGTCATGTTGATGAAAGCATCTGATCTTGTGGATACCTCTGCATAGGTCCCCACAAGTTGAACAAATGAACTGGTTAAAGAGGTACTTTATTATGTGACATTTGTATGCTTTTGTTTTGGGTTTCTAGATTCTTGATGGCGGGACAAATAATGTCATATTCTTTGGTTACTCTATCACTGGAAATATGGATCTTGATGGAAACTCTTACCCTGACATTGCTGTCGGGTCTCTTTCAGATTCTGTTTCAGTTTACAGGTATGTGCCCTCTTTATTGTGGTTTAACTGTCCCCATGAATAAAAGAGGTTCTTAAAATAAGTTTATTCATTTATTTATCAAATTTGTAAGACTGATTGACTCCATAACAATTCTTAAGTCTACTTAGTGGTGTGCAGAATATTTTGAATTCAAAGTGACTTGACTTTGAAGTGTCCATTTTTATGTAAATCAGTTGCTTCTACTGCAAAATAGACTGTTTCTATAGTTTTAGATGGTTTCAAATGTGGAACTGTGTTAAACTTTGAAACATCCCTACTGCTAATCTCTAGAATAGGTATGGTTCAGTTTCATGCTTGTGAGATCTTTGTTTTTTTATCAGAACCTCAAAATATACCAGTAATAAATGGGCCCAAAATAGTGGGTGGGAGTGGAACTAGATGCAAAATAGTGATGGGGGATGGAGCCAATTACCCATGGATAGGTATGACTTTAATGTACTATTACACAAAACAAAGCAGGGTAGCTTTCATTCTCCTTGCCTGACATCCTTAGCTTAAGACCGAAACTTCAAGTTATTTTTACTGTTTTATTAGCATAATACATTTCCTCTTTCCTCTTACTACTTTTATTTTAATGACCCTTTCTTTCCTTGCTTCACTTCTCACAAGATCAAGACCTGTGATAAATATTAAGAAAACCATTATGATCTCTCCAGACAAAATTGATCTGAATATGAGGAACTGTGACGTGTCCAGTAACCTTTGGTGAGCCATTGAACCTTTTGTTTTTGTTTCCATTTCTAGGAAATAGATTTACATGGATTTATGTAGGAACTTTAGTCATCTTCAGGTTCATGGTGTACGGTCATGTGGATTACTCAATCAGCCCATTGATACTTTCACTCTTAGGATGGTTCTTTCAGAAATTAGTAGCGGGGAATAAATACAGCATCCCTTCATTTAAGGACAGTCATAACTCTGTGGTAGAGCATATGCTTTGTATGCAAAGGCCCTAGATTCATGCTCTGGCATCTCCAGATAGAGTTGAAAAACTCCTTGGCCCAGAAGGAGAAGGCAAGGCAAGCAGAGGAGGGTGTTCCATTTCCTTATTCTTCTCATTGCTGACTTGTTTGGAAGAGTCAGATCAACAAGTGGGTTGAGCAGTAGGGACAGGAAGCTTCAATGATTAGTTGGAACTCTCTGCTCACGTGTGGCTCTAGCTGCCTATACAACACTTCCTGTCCCTAATGGAGCCTGAAACTCCATGCTAACATTATTTCAGTTTCCTGAGGCTGGCAAGGATAAAGTCACAATGTGGAAGCTTTCCAAGACCTAGAAGTCTTTGCACATTATGTCATTGGCTTTGAAATAAGTCAACCCTAGTGCAACCCTGTGCTGTTAGGATAACTGGACCTTAGCTATCTAAAAAATATGTTTGAGAGTCCAATGTAAGAGGAAGGACCTCTCAAAGAGGGGCCCTTCCTCTTGAGCTTCCAATAACTTTTAACAAAATGTCAGCCATATACAACTCTCTTTGTAAAATCACTTCTATCCTCTTGAATTTTTGCAGCCTGAACATTAGATCATGTTTTGAATATACAGCTAGTGAGAGTAACTTCAATCAAAAAATAAGTAAGTTTTGATAATAATACTTGTCTATCATTATTGCCCCAGCAGGTGACAGTATTTTGTTGATCTTGAAAAAAACCAAGTAGTTTCTGGCCTTGTTAGTACTTGGATGAGAGGCCACTAGGAATCCCAAGGCTGTAAGTTACAATGGGAAGTAAAATGTAGAAGAAGGCAGGACAAATCACTTCCATATTGTTGTCAAGCAAAGTAATCACCAAGACAACTAATATAGTAACAAAGAGTCAAACTCCAGTTGAGAGTGTCTTGCTTTTTTTTTTTATCATCCTTATTACTTTTGTGGATGATTTCAGAAATTTAGCTATCTCATCCTTGTTTCTTTGTGAATGTAGATACTCCACAAGGGCAATACAGGGAAACATCTGGGAGAAGTCTTCTCCAAAGCTGCTTTCTTTGTAGGTCAACCTTGCCCTTTGAGTTGAGTTTGAAGAACAAGAAAGAAGCCAGCCTAAATCTTCCATCCTGGGTGTTCTGGGTGTGTCTCAGCTCACAGTCTCCAGAATTTGGCCTCTTGACTCTGAAAGATCTGAAGTTTAGGAACAGTCTTCAAAATGGATTGAAGTGAACGCCTACTTAAAGAAAATCATGTTCCATTTTGTTTTGTTTAATTTCCCCCCTTCCAGAGTAGTTGTGCTAAAATGGTTAAGGTTACAGAGGGCCAGCACTTTTTTTTCTTTACTATTTGTTTCCTTTTAAAATAAAAGTCACATCACATCACATTAGCAGAATTCTTGAGGTTATCAATCATAATGTGGCTGAATAAGGTCACTAATGCCAATGAGTTCAAATATAGCCATTGGGGTAAAGCACAAAACTAGTACCATTTAGCAAAAGCACAGAGTGCAAGCGTGCAGGAGATATGGGGAAATCTCTGGTTAATTCCCAATATATGTAACTACAGTATACTTTCCAGGGGCATTTTTAAAAACAAAAGCATTTGAATATTTGCATTTGGATAGTTGGCTAGCCATGTGGGATGTTTTCTTCCCAGACCTAGCTTGGATGGAGTGCAATCTTTATTTTGCTGTATCTCTTAGCCTTACTATTTCCAAGTATTTTGTTTTTTCTCCCTCCCCCTCCACACTGCTCCTTTCTCCAGTTTTGAACTATTCATTTGAAGCAGAAAATGAGAGGAGGCGCTTGGGCTTGCCACCAAGAGTGCATTTTTCTAAGCTCCGCTCTGTTCCATTTAGCGGAAGTGTGACTCTCAGAGGACAGAAGTTGGAAGAGTGTGTGACTACCAGGCTTGAACTGGAGGTATGATGAGCAAAAAAAGTCTCCAATTGTTCTAGGACTCTCATTTTCAGGTCCTGCTTGGATCAAACCCACGATTAGCATAGGGGTAGCCAGCCTGCGGACCACAGGCCACAAATGAGAGCTGTAGTGACTGCAGGGGGAAACAACCTGAATTTCTCCAGATATTTTAGACTCCAACTCCCATCCCTCCCAGGCAACTTGCCTGGGATATGAGTGTCATGAGTATTATTGTCCCAAACATCTGGAAGGCTTGCCCACTCTTGTGTTAAAGATTTGAGTAGAGGTTAAGGTTGAAATGGTCTAACCTCACCAGAAGTGTTCCAGTATTGTTCCAATCTTACCAAAAGTGGTTCTCTCTCAAAATGGGCTTTTCTGACTGTGAAATGAAGCCCTTCTGGTGAAGTTGGAATGTGATCTTTCAGAATCAGAATGTTCCAGCCTTGAAATGTTTTGTTGCATTTGCCATAGACTCTACACATGTGTTCTCCACTGTAATGACTAGCAGCACTAATCCTGCATATAACCTATATCATCTCGTGGGTGGGTGCCTTTCCCTATAAGAAGCTGCTGCTAGTATGGAGTGGCAGAAAAACACTGGAGGGTATGGTTCACATTTGCATTAAGAATGAGGAGGGAGAGGAAGCTAGATAAAACAGTATTGGTTCCTGTGTTTAACTTCAGTTGTCATGTGAGCCTTTATATAATTCTAGGAGACATGTAATTCATTATATTTTACAAAATGCGTACCAGCTCTTTAAAATTGGGATGGGGGAATTAGTTTATTTTAGATAAGCCAGCCTGCATTTTAAAACATCACCTGAATTGGTGGCATTGGAAACACATCTAATTGATCCAGATGGCTCCCACCCGATGATGTTCAGGAACCTATTAAGGACCTTGCCACTCTCCCAGGTTTTGGGGCAGGGTGAAAGTTGAATCCATGCTGGATGGGTGTTTTGGTTATATGTTGTTGTTCGGCCATTCATGATCTCTTTTTCATCTGCTGTATTAAAAAAAAAAACTTTTTAATTGTAAACCACCCAGAGTCATTGGGAGTTGGGTGGCCTATAAATTGTTTGTTTGTATGAATGAATGAATAGTATTATATTCCAGTTTTGTGATAGCATGTATTAGCAAGTTTCAAATCAATCCAGTTGGAATATATTCCAAGTATTAATCAGAATCTCCTCCCTTATTTCTTAGGAAAAAATCAAAGATAAATTGCGTCCAATTCCTGTATCTCTTAGCATTGCAATTCATACTCCTGAGGCCAGAAGGAGACAGGGAAGATCACTGCCAGACCTTCTTCCAATTCTGAATGCTAGTGAGCCCAACACAGTTCATTCAGAGGTAAGTTATTTATTGAGTCTTTACTCTAGACATCTATATGAGTCTTATTAGTAATGCTATATCGTGCTTAGAAAACCTATAGAAAAAGGAAATATTATTTCAACAGCATTTGCCACTTCAGTCAGTACCAGTATATGTTATTTTGTCAAGAAGGCTGGAGGCATTGGGAATGAAACGTAGATCCTTCTTGCCTTGTTGGAGATGATAAAATGGCTTTAGAGTACAAATATGAATGAAGATCTTTGTGTGTTCTACAGGCGTTCTCACCATTGTACTGTACTTTACATCTCCTTGAAATGAGCATTGAATTAGGTTCTTCTTCAGCAGACTGATGGCTGTGTACCCTCATTCCCATGATGTTCTGCTCTGCTAAGTTGTGAAACACCCTCGTCCCTGACCTTGGAATGCTGATTCCATTACAAGGCCGCCCCCAGCGCTCCTGATGAATGGAATGCTGCCTCCTTAGTACTGAGAACTGTTGGTGGGCTAGAGGATAGCGCTCGTGACAGATTGCCACCATTGATTTGCTTGTGCATCTCCTGGATCTAAATATTACTGAAGTAAAGAGTACAAGTAAAGTAGAATGGCAGAGATGCTAGTTTGTGGAAATGAAGAAAAACAGAATAGGAAGAACTGAACATAGCTTACTGTGGATTGAATACGATGTGATGGGAGTGATATATTTGATATTGTGTCTGAATTATTTTCCTATTTATGGTTGTATCATTGCCTGAATATGAGGCAGCTGAGTGGTGTTATATAAATATCTGAAATATATAAGATGAAGCACATTAAAATAACATCCATCAATTGCTTTTTGTTAAATCGCATGTGGCATTTGAAATCGAACCACTGAACTTGTGTTCTTTGTAGGTGCAGTTCCTGAAGGAAGGCTGTGGATCAGACAATGTATGCCACAGCAATTTGAAGATGCAGTACAGATTTTGCACCAAAGAAGGAAATGAGGACAGATTTGCCTATTTCCCCATGTAAGCCTGACAGAAGGAATTTGCAAGAATGTGGTACTACCCTCCAGTTCCCAGTGATGTGACTCAGTTTTATTTTTCCAGGGAGAACAATGTTCCAATGCTTGTTCTCAAAGACCAGAAAGATATCGCCCTTGAAATCACAGTGACCAACAGTCCTTCCAATGCAATGTACCCCCTGAAAGATGGTGAAGATGCCCACGAAGCGAGATTCGTAGCAACCTTTCCAGATAGCTTGACTTATTCTGCTTTCAGGGAGTGGAAGAGCTTTCCGGTAAATAATTCCACCAAATGTACTTATTTATTTATTTTATTTATTTATCAAACTTATCCCCGCCCATCTCCCCCCAATGATGAAGATGTTCAAAGGTGTTGTTATTTCACTTAATTTGGCCTTGATGCACCTGTCCTTTATTAATGCAGGAAAAATTGCTCACCTGTGGTGCTAATCCCAATGGTTCTCAAGTGGAGTGTGAACTTGGAAATCCTTTCAAAAGAAATTCTACTGTAAGTATGGTTTCTATTGTCTTGGAGGATGGAATGACGGAATATCAGAGTGCCCTACGTTTCTGATAGTTGAAGTATACAACCCCCTCATTAAAAAAAAGATTGAGCTTAAAAAATAAAGTAGAACCATATATATCTATTAAGATAAAATCTATCAGAAAATAAGCAAAGGAGCTACTCCTTATTTCCTATTTATGGCAGAAGCCATAACAGTAATATTAAAAGAAAAGGAGCATCTTTCAGCAAAAAAAAAAGGGGGGGGAGTAGAGCGTACAATATGTAAAAAGTTAGAAATTATACAACCATTCACAAAACTTTGGCTTTAGTAAATTCCAATAGCAAATAAGAGACTGCTGCCAGTACTTCAATTATGTCTGTCTGACTTTAAACAATCCCAGCAAATAAATGAATTATGGCATATAACATTTATGCCTGCAATGTAGTATAATCACTCCTTTTATTCCCTTTTTTTAGGTTACATTTTATGTGATTTTAAGTACAACTAAAGTTAATGTTGATACAAAAGAGCTGGACATCAATTTGAAACTGGAAACGTAAGATTTTTTTTTAACCAGATTCTTCGTGTTTCCTAATCTGTTTCGAATATTCTGATATGACCATGAATAGGTTGTGAAGGCATCTGAATTATAACATGAAAATAGTTGACTATTCTTTGAAACAGTCCTTTTATTTCTTTTTTGTTGCAGAACAAGCAATCAGACTAATTTGGAACCAATTACTGCAAAAGCTAAAGTAGTTATTGAACTGCTTTTATCACTTACAGGGTAAGTGTCATAGCTGGCTTAACAAATCAGTGCCAGAGATAGTCCCTTTAAAGGTCATTTATTTATGTTTGTGTGTTTTTTTAACAATAGGGTTGCTAAGCCTTCCCAGGTGTATTTTGGAGGTAATATCATTGGGGAAAGTGCAATGAAATCTGAAGATGACATCGGTAGTTTAATTGAATATGAGTTCAGGGTAAGTTGGCCTGTATGAAAAAAAAGATTATTTCCTTTTTGGTTTTCAAATAATCTCCTTGAAATTTCACACATGGTCTTGCCTTTGTATCTCAATGGCATTTTTTAAAAGACCATCACTAGGGAGAAGTTTGCCCTTGTTTTTCTGGCAAAAAGCAATGTATAGATAGATGTTCATCTGTGCATGTAGGTGTATCAATGCTTGAAATCAACCAGTGAAGTTGGGTGCTTAAAAATAGAGATAAAATAAGGGACTCAGAACTTTTGCATTTCATATTCAAAGAATTACACATCTCTTAGAAGTACTGTTAAATGCATATTCCTTAAGAATATTTGAAGGGATGGGGATGGGGGGAAATCCCAAACTGTATAGTGATTAAGAAATAATTCCTACTAGCATTAAACATAACTTTTTAGTGCTAGCAGGTATTATTTTTTAATCACTGTACAGTTATTTAATAATCTTCCCTTGATGGGTAGGTGATCCTAGATATGTTCTTATGACTTACAAACAATTTTATTTACTCAAGACATTTGTATCTCAAAATAGCTGCAAATTTCCCTCTTTATGGAGTGTATCTACACTGCATCTGGCCTATTTGATTAAGTAGTATACACATGCTGTTAGAGAGAAAGAAGAGAGAGGGAAACAGAGAATCTGGCTGAGACTAAATATTGTGTGAATGTAGTGACTTAGATCTTAAGTTCCCATGACAGGAACTCTGCTCACAGGATTCTCACACTGGTAATGAGAGGGGAGAGACATTTTTTTTCCCTTTTAGTCCATGGTACCTTCCAATAAACCTGCTCCAGACAGTTGTTGGACTCAACAGAATGGAGTGGGAGGTGACCTGACAAGTTACGGGAACTCCCTTTCATCAGGAGGAATCTTTGGTGCATCGGAGTCCTTTTCCATGAACAGAAGGAGCACTTCCAAACTAATGACATTTATCAACCATAGGAATCACTAGAAATACTGATTTCAGATGTTCCTAGTCCCCAGGACTCCCCTGCCTTCAGTGAAGCTGCTTACATAAAACATAGTGGCTTTTGAAATCATACATTGCAGTGATTTTACTTCTATTAGAGTTTTCTCAAAATCAAAGATGCAAGCAAAATAAATAAAATGTATCATGACTCATACTGTATATGATTGTATTGGAAGTTGAGCCACCGTCTTCAACCTGACCAAGTCATTTGGAAAAGACCATACTGAAGAAGGCTGAAATGAGAGTTTTATACTATATTGTCATAATAAGTAAAAAGGAAACAGATTCATAGTAAATTGGAATATTTGCATTTATATTACATGATAGTTTTCAAGAGGGCATCTACTAATTAATATGAGCAAATGCATGTATTTTATTTCTGATAGATCACTAACTTAGGTAAGCCACTAAAAGCATTTGGTACAGCTTTCTTGGAAATTATGTGGCCGAAAGAACTGAGAGGAGGCAAATGGTTGCTCTATTTGGTTTCCATTCATTCGAAGGAATTAGGAGAATTACAGTGCGCTCCTCAAAATGAAATAAACCCTTTGAAAGTTCAGGTAAATGAGTGCAATTGTATATTTTGAATTAAAATGGCTGCTCTGTGGTATTTAGAAGGGATGATGGAGTTGGTGATGGGGTTGGCTTGATCTTTGGCTTCTTGAATAAAGAATGAAACAAGTGTAGACTTTTGCCTGCTTCCTTGGCCCAGTATTTAGGCAAGTCCTGCTACCCTGATAACATTTCACATGATGTCTGGGACTGCAGGAATGTGTAGCGTACAGTACCTGTGTGAAGGAGAAGTGGAGAATGTGGACAGAGAAAAGTTTTCCTTCCTTTCTCTTGAGGAAGAGCACACCTGTACATAAATAATTGTGGAATTTGCATACTCCCTTGCTTTTTAATTTCTGTATGCATTCCATCATGCAACCTCTATCCCAACAAGTTCCCTCTTCTGCTCTTGGCAAGTAAACCCACATCTAAATGTTTGTATGCTGCCAGTGTAGTTATTTTATCTTTGGTCCTAGTGGGCTTAGGGCAGAGTTTGCTAGGCCCTAGGTAGCCCAGGACTGGGCTACCTGAAAGAATGTGTCCCATAACCCAGCATCAAGGCCTCTCTGAGATTGAGGGGAGGCCCTCCTCTAAGTCACTTGGCAATACCATGGAGGAAAGCTTTCTAAGTAGTGATGCCTGTCTTGTTGAGTAACTTTTCCTCCATGGGATGGAATGTATCTATGAAGGGGGAGGTGGCATGACGAAATGCAGTAGAGACCCAGGTTCTCGGGAAGGAGGGGGAAAATTCCAGGAAGGAAGAGGAAGAGACAAGAGGCAACATAGTCCAGAGCAGGAGCGTGGGAAGAAGAAGAGATTTAAGACAGCCACTCCCTAGATTCTCCCAGAGTATATCTATCAGGTTAGCATAGTACAGATTTAGTCTCGCAAGGTTCTGCCTATATGGTGTAAGCAATAAAGAACTGAACTTGGTTGGACTGTTTCCCTGTTGTTCTTGGGCTGGGCCTGACACTAATCTAATACCGGTATGTTTTAGATGCCTTCTAAAAACATGTTGATTTATATTTGCTTTCTTTAGCATTTAACTCCTTATACTTGTCTTTTTAGTGGATTGCTCTTATCTTCTGATACTGTTTTTATATTGCTTTAAATGGATTTTTTCCCCTTTGAATATTGTTGTAATCTGCTTCAGGATCAGAGGTGACTTGCATCAAAATGATGAAGATAGAGACTCTCTATAAGTTCCACACCTTTCATAAATGTGTTTGATGTCATGACACATGTGTGAAATGGGTGTAGCTTGTGTCACAATGGCATGACGCTTCTTTTGTCATTTGCCCTGCCTTCCCACTTCTGCTCATGAAAAAAATCTATAAAGACTTTTGATAAATATATTAAAATGAAAACTTAAATGCTTGTGAATGCTTGGCTACAGAATTCAATAGTGAATTCTGCTTAAGTGGTTGTTTATGTTTATTTTTTAATGGTCTGCAGCATGCTTTATGTTGACTATTTTTGTATGCCTGTTCATACTTCTAGGTGTCTAAAAATTCACGGACAAAGCGTGAAGTTGCAGAGAAGCAGACAGAGGGTAGCAAAGGCTTTTCTTTATTTACAGAAAGAAAGTATAAGACACTGGTGAGCACCTATTTAATCAGTGGCAAATTGCCTTGTCAACTTCCCTCTCAGTATTTATTTTTGGAACCAGCAGTGATGCATATGTACCAAAATAACAGGAATTCCACATTTGCCTTTTTCTTTCAGATTTCAAACTCTACTAAATGCAATCTACTGTCAAGTACACCTGTTAAACTATATTTAGCACATTTAAAACACCTATATTTAAAAATTCCAAACACCCAAAAGAGTTTTCTAGCATCTAAAGATGCACAATTTTATGGTAGCATAATTTTTCTCAGATTAGTCTGTCAGATTGAAAACTAAGTTCCAGTCTGTGACAACTTGAAACATAAGAAAGCATGTAAAGGCTACATATATTATTATTAGTATTAGTCATTTGGAGCGAGTTAGTTTGATGTAGTGGTTAAAGGCACTGGGCTAGAAACTGGGAGACCGAGAGTTCCAGTCCTGCCTTAGGCACGAAGCCAGCTGGGTGGCTTTGGGCCAGTCACTCTCTCACAGCCCTGGGAACCAGGCAAGGGCAAACCACTTCTGAAAATCTTGCCAAGAAAACTGCAAGGACTTGCCCAGGCACTTGCCAGGACTCAAGACTGACTTGAAGGGACAAAAATAAATAAATAAGCTATTTGTAAATTTAAAAAGAGGCAGAAGGATGGAAAGACAAGGAAAGACGTTTTATGAAAATAACCCCCCAGCCTTCTACTGGTTTTGCTATTATATTCACATTTACTGAATTTATTCTTTAGTGGAATTAGTGAAAGTAGGGCTTTATCCAACTATGCGACTAGAGCAGGAGCAGTAGAATAAACTTGAGACCTATAAGGCTGCATTCCCTTGGTTCCAGTGAGAACATTCCAGTGATTTTCCTATGCTTCCTTGTTGGGAGCATGGAAATTTCTGCCATTCTTGCCTCTTTGTTGTCAGCAGTCTTCAGGGCTGGGCAAAATGGGATGTACAGACTGGGAAAGGCTTGGATCCAGTATTCCTGTTCCACAGACCCCCTCCCAAGCCAGCAGCAAAACTATGCCATCCATAAACACCTGAAGTGAATTTTGCATTCGTTGCAACCCATGCCATCCTGTGGGCTGTAAGAAAGCTGAATGAGGGAAAAAAGATAAAAAGCTGCTTCTCTCTTCCCTTCATACAGATTTCCTCCTTCCTCTCATGTTAGGATTGAAATATTTTAAATGTAAAAGATTTTCCATTTGCTTTGAAAAAATTGGCTTGCAGAAACCTTGCAAAAAATGCTGTATATCTGCTTTTGAGTGAAGGTCTCTTGAATATATTCTGTGTATTACTTGCAGGAATGCAATGAAGAGGCAAACTGTGTCAACATAACGTGTTCCTTGCAAGGCTTAGACAGTAAAGCTATAGTAGTATTGCGCTCAAGGTTGTGGAACAGCACTTTCCTAGAGGTAGGTTCCATAAACTTATCTTATACAGTTTTGAACTGAGTTCTTTTATTTGTTCTAAAGAAAGCCTTTTTTTGCTACTCCACAGGAATTCTATAAAATGAACTATCTAGACATTCCTGTTAGAGCTAGAATTGGCATCTCTGCTGCAGATAATGTCAAGCTGACAAATGAAGCTGCAAATGTGAGTCTTTAATATTTCTCTACTTACAGCTGTCCTAAGAGCCATTGACGGAAAAGCCAGCCTGCCTGCCTCCCTCCCTCCAAATGAGAAAATATCTAGGCAATGCCCATAAGACCCTTTTGGTGGGATAGTACAGCACATCCAAACCTATCCACTTCGGTCAATAATTCTATTCACTCCTTTTCCTCAAATAACATTTTAGAAATTCATCATTTCCAAAACTGGTTCCCAAAGAATCTCTGTGGTACTGTTTTGGGGAAGCAAATGATTGTCATTGCTCTTGTGAATTAGTAAAAATGTTAGAGTAGTGAGCAACCTCAAAAGAAAAAGTGACCTCAAAGCCTTCAGACCTCCAGACTGACCCCAATTGCCAAGATCCGCAGTACACTTTGCACCTTTTTGAGGAGGGAAACCTATAAAACTCTAGTGAAAACCCTAAAATAGGCTTACAAATACCAGCTTTTTAAAAGAAAAAGCAACCCTCAAGAAACAGAAATAAACAGAAAATACTGGCTCCATCCAGTTTCCAACTCTCCTCACCCTATTTCTTCCCCTGCCGTTAAAGGAGTTCTAAGAATTATATTGGAAATAACATGCTACACCATGTAGGAGAGGCAGATTTTCACCAGGTATTATATCCTTGTAGCTACCCTGGCTGAATGAAGATGGAGGAGATGGGAATAAAGTGAAATATTGACTGAAGAAGAAGGAATAAGGAAAAGGAGACCAGAGTAGAATGGTCACTAAAGGAAAAAGAAAGAGAAAAGATTAGAGTGAGACCCATGTGGAAAAGAACAAATAAACACCAAGTGTTTCCCCTAGGACGTTGCAGGACAATAGAAACAGACCCCAATGCAGAATACACTTTTAAAAAGTGTTATGTTAAACCTGTATCCACCAGTAAATTGAACACTTCTATGTCTATACATTCAGTATTTTATTGTTGGGACTCAAGATAGCCACTTCTATAGGTTAAACATTCTCAGATCCTTTAACCATTCTTTATGAGGCTTGCTTTCTACACTTTCACCACTTTGGAGCCCTCTTCTCAACTTTCTTCAATTTGTCACTATCAGGGTCTGTCTAGAATAGAATAAAATGATTACTTTCTGTAATCTGGATTCTATGCTACTGTTAACAAACCCAAGATAGATGTGTTTATTTTAGCAGCTGTGTCATGTTGCTGGATCACGTTTAGCTTGTGGTTGACAAGGTTGACAACTTGTGGTTGCCTTCTGTTGACATACAGATCTTTTTTAGATGTACTACTGCCGAGCCAGGTCTTACCACATCCTATTCTTGTGCCTTCCATTTTTCCTGCCCAGATGCATAACTTTACATTTCTCTCTGTTAAATGCCTTCCTGTTCATCTCAACCCACTGCTTAATCCTGTCTGGGTCTTTCTGAATCTTTTTAACTGTAGTGTTGGCCACCACCCTGCAGCTTTGTTTCATTGGCAAACTTTATAAGTCTCTCCCCTGCCTCCAACTCCTTCAATCCAAGTCATTGATAAAATGTTGAACAGCACAGGACTGAGGACAGAACCCTGTGGTACTCCACTTGAATTTTTCCTCCAAGCTGGAGCCATTAATGACCACTCTTTGGGTGTGGTCATTCAGCCAACTATGAGTCCATCTAACAGCTATATCATCTAGCTCATATTAAGGGAGATATCATGAGACACTCTGTCAAAGGCTTTGCTGCGATCCAAGTACACTATGTCTAAAGCATTCCCCAAATCTATTAAGTTAGTAACTTTATCAAAGAAAGAGATAAGGTTAGTCTGGCACAATTTGTTTGCAAAATACAAATTCTGGCTGCTGTTAATTGTAGCATGCCTCTCCAAATGCTCACAAACATGCTGTTTGATCATCTGTTCAAGGATCTTGCTCAGTATAGACAGCACACTGAGAGGTCTGTAGTTTCCTGGATCTTCCTTCTCTCTCTTTTTAAAGATGGGGATGACATTTGGTCTCTTCCAGTTTTCTGGGAACTTCAAGAGTTCTCAAGATTATTGAAAGTGGTCCTGCAATTGCTTCCTCTTATTTTTTATTATAATTTTATTAAGAATTTTGATTTTAATAGTAAAATCTAATACAAACTAAACTTAAAGAGAAAATAGACAGAATAAATGGTGTAAAAAAACTTAAAGAGGAAAGAAAGAAAAAGAATATAATAAGGAGAAAAGAAAAATATAAAGTAGTGACTTTCAACCCTCATAACAACAAATATAAACAAATTTAGTGACTCTTTACCCCTTCTAAGGTTACAAACATTTATCTCTTCATCCCATATCCCATCCCTTATCAAGAGACAAATCCATAAAACATCATCTTTTCAGTCCTGGTGTCCACAGAAAGTATATAAAGGGTTGCTAGAGGTAACAACATATCTTGTTTTAAACTTGATCAAATAAACCAGCTTTATATTCCTTTGTTTTACTTCTAACAGTCTTAATCTTTAGTCCATTCAAATATTGTTGTAATATTTGTCTTAATTTCTTCTTTGTCCCATCGCACAGAGTTTTTCAAGGCTTTAACAAGCCTCTTTTGTAAATCCAATAGGAAAAACCTTGTTTTTCATGACTCTACCTTGTCACATGAAATTTGTTCTACATCTATCATTCCTTCAATAACACCTTTTGGACATAGTCTATCCATAAAAGCAGACATCATTACTGACATTGTTGATTTGGTGGCTACTAATTTCTGACTCCATTCTTCAAAAATCTTCTTCAGTATTTTCATTGTTATAACGCTTTGCATTTTATAAGCTTGTATTTTTTTTTTCTACCTAAAATCTTTAGTCCCTCTAGTGTCCAGTTTTTAAATCATGAAATTGCTTATCTCTTCCCAAAACCCAAACAGATCTATTTCCCACAAGAAGATGTTTATTCTTTATAATTAATTCCAAAATCTTATTGTAAAAGTTTCAATATTTCAAATTTATCGGGACCCTTAGTCTGTTTATAACTTTCTAACATCAAAATCCTATTTAGCTTTTTGCTGTTTATTTCAGATTCTTTAAGTTTATTTATTTATTTATTTTTAAATTTGTGTGCCCCCCCTCCCCCCTATGGGTGACTCTGGGCGTCATTCTTAAGCTTATAATTAATTTTTCTTTTGTTCAAAGATAAACTCACCCAATGAAGACTTTTCAAACTTCTCATTCCGAAGGTTTCTAATAGCTTTAAAATAGTTAATAAGCGATTTCTGAAAGTGATTAGAAAGTGAGGTTTGCAAACTTAGTGTCCTTTAAAAGGTTCCATTGCGGTTGTGAGCAAGATGGCTAATCCCTTCATCTCCCAGTGTTCAAACCCGCAGAAAACTGCTGTCCTGCGGTCTCCTTGTGAGGAGGAGCCATCCAGAGCACATGTGGGCAATCTTCTGTTCTCTGCTTATCCAGAGAGGATCCAAGGAATCAGTCTACTCACTGGTTCCTTGGTCTTTGCCATGGTTGTCGACTCCACTCTCACAGAGCCATCTTCAATTCACCATACCTCCCCCGGAAATTCTGCAATTGCTTTGTACTATTTTGTAATTCAAAAGGTAGCCTTCCTCTACCTGATATCCTCCAGATGTTTGGACTATAATTCCCAGCATGGCCAAGAGCCCAACTTCCTGGATATAATGGAATGAGTAATCCAGCACATCTGGAAAATAAAAAGTTGACAAAAAATTCTGAGTGCTTCAGTATTGGTGTAGAATCAATATTGTAACACATTGTCTAAGTTTTTCCTGTATAATGACATACTCTTCTGCTTCTTTTGTAGGTACGGGTTACTGTCTTTCCTGCAAAAACAGTAGCTTTATATAAAGGAGTTCCTTGGTGGATCATCTTGGTTGCCATTCTTGCTGGGTTATTAATGCTTGCTTTGTTGGTGTTCTTACTGTGGAAGGTGAGCTATTTTATCAATGTGTTTGGTCATATTTAATCACCCATTATTTGAAATGTGCAAAGAACTTTTTTTTGGTTTTTTTTCAAAAAGGAAAAAATGAAGAAGGAAAAATTGTGATTTTCAGAGGTTACATTTATTTTAATATTGAGAAATATGTTTGGTCAAACAATTAAAATACTTTCTTCTACAAGTACATAATATGTGGGGGAAGGAAATCTTAGTTTTAAATGAGTTTAGGTAGATTGTTAGCATATTTGTGTATTTATAAGGGCCCAAATTTTGGAATTTCCTTCAGATGTTGTTGCTATTGAGACCACACACAGGCGCCTGGATTCCATTTTTATATGTTAACTATAGATACAGTATTTCCAACATTTTTCCATGTGAAAACAAGCGTCCTACAACTGTAGAGGGACTCCCACACAACTCCATATTTCTTATTCCACCATTACCCAGCATGTATGCTGATGCACATGTCATGATCTAGGGGATGGGCATATTCTGTGTCCTTCCCATATCTCCACACCTTATTCCATCTTATCCTTCAATTCTATATACACTTAACTCGAAAGTAAGTCCTGATAAACTCAGCTGAACTTTGTTTTGTTTAAACATTAATAGGATTTCAGTGCTGATGCTGTTCAAATTAATCAGGGTCTGGCTTTTAAAGTTCATTCAAGAAACAGGACACCAGGTTCTTTGTGAATCTTTTATGCACGGGCACAGTAAGAAAGCTTTTTATCAAGTAATTTTGAATACTGAATCAAAGTTACATTTATCTTTGATCTATCCATGGTTCGCGTAACGCCTTATCTCTACTATCAAGATTTGATTTTGCAGAAAAGTAGCTGTTGCCTCTATAGGGAGAAAACACGTCCTGGTTGCCCTGGCAAGCATTATATATTTCTTTCACGCTCTCAAAGTAATGATTAAAAAAGGCTTGCCAATCTACCGATAGTTACTGCCCAAGGTTCATAACCGAAGCATTAAAACATGCCACAAAGGAGTTAGCTATGGGTTAAAAATTATAACCACAGGCCTATTGCTGTAGTTATTTTATAAGACAGATTTTTAACATTTACATACAGAGCAGTCTGGTTAGTTCACTCTTTTCTCCTTTTTTTTTTCTTTTTCTTTTTGCACATTAGTCCCTAATATTAACCAAATGCCTTGCTTCCTTATAGTGTGGTTTCTTCAAGAGAGATAAGAAAGATCATTATGATGCCACATATCACAAGGCTGAGATCCATGCTCAGCCATCTGATAAAGAGAGGCTTACTTCTGATGCATAGTATTGATCCACTTCTGTAATTGGTAATTGCTTTTTGAATTTATTAGCTGCAGGTTGGTTGCGGTGGCTAATGACTCAAAGCTTGCTGCATTTGTTCCGCTGATTGTCTTGTTTCAAAATATCAATTCTTTTTATGCTTGCTTACATTCTTTAGAATAATCTTTCTTGGTGCACGAATATGCCAATCCTTTTGCCAGTTGTTTTTAAACTACTGTTTACCTATGCATTCCCTTGACCCTCTGGAGACTTTCTACTTAGGGTTGGCATCCCAGTCCTAAATAAGCTGGCTCACGGTCCAGGAGATACAACACATCCCTGGAAACCCCTTCTGATTTTCCTATGAAATAGGGAAAAAAAATCCTGTGATAAACCAAACTGGTGGCTTTCAAACTGTGTTCCACCGAATGTTGGCTCGTCTCCTCAAGCAGAAGTCTGTAAACTCAGACAAGCTTTTCCAGAAAGACAGCTTGCCAGCAGCTATTGACCAAGAGAATCTCTGAAGACTGGTCTGTGACTCAAGTATACTGTAGGTCCTTCTTAGAACATGGCCATGAATCTCCCGTAGTACACTGGGACTGTATAGCAGACATTCAGTGGTAAATTAATGAGGAGAGCACTCTCCCAGGATGAAAATGCTGAGCTAAAACTGCCATTTGCTAGCGAGCAGCCAGACACCGAGTAACTCCATCTCTTTTACTTAACAACAACATGTTCATACATAGGGTTGAAACAGCCTTTGAGCCTCTTTGAAGCTACCTGAGTGAACACTGACCAGTTAAAAGACAAAGCAGAACAGAAGTATCTGAATATGAAATTTGAGGTTATAACCACAACTCTAGTTTTCATACAAGTTAATGAAACGGTTAAATGTAATGAATTTAAACCTATCTGTGCATACTTTCCAACATTTAAATGAATGTATGCCAGAAGGAGGCCATAATGGTAAACGAAAACCAAAAACAAATATTAGGAAAGAAAAATATATATTACCATTAAATTATTTAACATTTTCTGTTTTGACTTGCTCAGGGACCACAATCCAATAAAGAGTTAATAAAATCTTGTGATAAAGCTCCATTGAACCTTAATGGGACTTTTCTCAGATATTATATACAGAACTGTTATAACTAGGTCTACATCCATATTTAAAGATCCACGTTTAAAGATTTAATGATTATGTCATGCATAATTGTTAATCAGTGATAGGCTTTAGTAAGATATGGGCTGTGTTTTGAGATGCAAGACATATTTTGATTTTTTTTTAGTGAACAGATAATAGCTTTATTAACACAAATGCATGCCAAAAGCCTTTACTGCTGTTGTTACCCTTTCCAATATAAGGCAGTTTTCAATGCTGAGTTTTCATGGAAGTCTACTGGACAAATTTCTATTTTATTTTATCTATACTTGGATCTGCATTTCTTCCTCTAAAGCCTGCCTACTGCATGCTGGCTAATGTTCTTGTACACCTTGAGTGCATAGATGTAAATGTACATTGCATTTGTTGGATTGCCAGAATGACCCCTTTCATTTACTGCTTTATGTCTAAAGAAATTGAAATGTTCCAGTTAGGAAGAATATGACCACTTCTCAGGCCAATCAAAATTTATTTCTCTGACCGAGTCCTTGCTACAACACTATACAGTGCCAAGTATGGGCTAGAAATACACACTGTGGGTAGACCAAATAGATTGAAGGGCGGGAGGAACATTGTGAATTTTAAATAATGAGCATGAGGGAAAAAAAATATCTTCTTATGACTTCCCTGGGGATAGTCTGAAAAATGAGCATCCTTCTGAGTAGTTACTGATCCAGGCCATTTGAAAACAAAGAGAAGGGGGTTTTACTGTATGACCTGTTCTCTGAAGACCTATTAGCCTTGTTGGCTGGCATTTCTTGTACATAGGTTGAAAGAGCCTGTGGATCTTGTTAGTAGAAGGGAAGATAATTCACTGTAATAATGATAATAATAAAGCACAGAAAAATCCCAGGGAGAGTGGAGACTAGAACTGCTGATAAGGCTTACAGACTTGGAAAATATGTGAGTAAAGACAGGTGCACTGCTAGGCTAGATGGAGACCTGTGTGGGATTCCCTCTGAAGTGGCAAGGCAATACTCCCTCTTTTCCTCTCAGTACCCTGAGCCCCATGGCAACATCCTCTTTTCCATCCAAGCCTTCATGGGTTTCTCAGGCAGCCCTGATTTCCTGAACAAAGCTCTGTAATAGTCCCTTTGCCCTTGGAAATTTGCAGGGTGACAGGAAGGCAACAGTGTGATTCAATGGGAAGGAACTATTGCAACACTGCTTTCAGCCCCAATTCTTTGCACGATAAGGGGAAAAGGAAAACCTGGATCCTGAACTGGGTTGATGTTTATGCTCATTCATGCAAAGAACTACACTGTGAGAAGCACAGGTTGGATGGCTCTGTTGTAGCCCCCATTTTCTTCCTCCCTGATGTCTCTGTCCCGTAATGTAATGTTTTGGGATATGGAGAGGAGATGGCAGCTGCGTGGATGTGCATGGATGTGGTGTCTGTGCACCAACCTTAAAATTAAAATTAGCATTGAGCTTGGCCTAAGTTCTGGCAGGCTGTCTGGGGCCTAGATTTTGGCATTTGGCCATGGTGCATCCTGACACCAGGCCTGCATAAGTGAGTTTGACCTCTAGTTTTGTAATCCATAGATGAGCTCACATTACATTCATAGGAATAGATTCCCAAAGGCATGTCTTATTGGGTATAAATCAGAAAGTGAAGGATACATTTTTATGCTTTTATTGAGCCAGGTAAATTGTATATGGTACATGAAATACTTAGGAAATACTATGGTCTGAGCAAGGTGCCATATAAAGTGGTACCTCGGGTCACGAACTTAATTCATTCCGCGACTCTGGTCGCGACCCGAATTGGTTGCGACCCGAATCAAATTGTCCCATAAGGTTCAATGTAAATATGATTAATCCGTTCTGACCCCTACGAATTTGGTCGCCAACCGATTTTGGTCGCGTCCTGAATCAAATTTTCCCATAAGGTTCAATGTAATTATGGTTAATCTGTTCTGAACTCATGGACGGAAGCAAAATTTTGCGAACGGTGCTGTTCGTGACCCGAATTGGTCGTGAACAGAAATGTTCGTGACCTCATGGACGGAAGCAAAATTTTGCGAACGGTGCTGTTCGTGACCCGAATTGGTCGTGAACAGAAATGTTCGTGACCTCATGGACGGAAGCAAAATTTTGCGAACGGTGCTGTTCGTGACCCGAATTGGTCGTGAACAGAAATGTTCGTGACCCGAGGTATCACTGGATTTGGGCTGGCCTTTAATTCTGACACTGGATTTCACAGAAATATTACCAGGTTGACCATAAAGAGATTTTACTTTTGTAAAATAAATTTGAGATTGAGAGTTTTCCACTGACAAGCTTAGATTGCAATATTGGGTGAGATTTTTTGCTATATCTAGGACATCTGGTGTCGCATTTGTCCCTCTCTTTAAAGGAATGCTCTGTGATAATACACTTCTTCAAGATAGAGGTAAGGGTAATGTAGTGCAACACATCTGGGGGATTCCAGGTTGGGTAAGACCATACTCGTTGAACAACACAAATAGTTACATGCATTGTGGCATTTTCTCTCCCTTCCTATAGTGCGGGTTCTTCCAGCGCTCCAGGTACGATGACAGCATCCCCCGCTACCACGCTGTAAGAATTCGGAAGGAGGAAAGGCAGATTAAAGATGGAAAAAGTAAAGAGAACCATGCAAAAAAACAGTGGATCACAAAGTGGAATGGAAATGAAAGTTATTCCTAGGGATCTCAGCTGAAGTTAAAGATTGAATGGATTTTAAGGTGTCTTTGAGCAACATGATGGATGCAAGTGGGAAGACCTATTTTTTTTTTTTTGTAGATGTTGTTATTTCCATATCAAAGTTGTTTGGTGCTACAGATGTAAACCTTAAGACTCCCTAAACCAGCCTCTATATATTAACTAAATCTCCAGTCTTTTAAAAAGATTGCAGTTAAAATCCAAATTATCAGTCAGGAAAGAGAGATATTTTCCCTCCTTTTGGTGAAATGGAGCTATATGGATTTTTCCCAGGTAGTGGATTTTTTTGCTCCCAGCTTAACCTTGATAGCACTTGGCTGCCCTCGGGCTGAGAAAAAATTATCATAATGAAACTGGCGGTGTGGGGAAGGACATCTGGCTATAGTCTAAAGGAGAGGGGAAGCAACCTGAGTTGTTATGTGGCTTGTTAGAATGCCCTTGCCAAAATTTGACTGAACTGCACAATTACGTGTTATTTCCAGAGTTTGAACTACATGTTAGGTCAAGCCTTAAAGCTGTTTCCTTGATCCCACCTTTCTTGTACTGCTGGAACTTCTCTCACCAGATGCAAGATAGCGAGATAACTTTCCTAACCACAAATGCAGATATATTTCAGTATATTTGTCTTCATTATTTAAATATCAGAAGAGAATACCATCATTTTGTTAGGAAAATTATATGGGACTCCAAGTGAGATAGAAAGTAGTGTAACCCATCATTCTTTCCCATTTGTGGATAGTTACTTGACTTTGATTTTCTTTTTGTCACTGAATGTTTAAAATAAAAATGGGGGGTTCAGACTTGTCTGGCCATCGTGATACTGAGATTTTATCCTATCTCCAAACCCAGAATGTGTTTACTTTAATCCCATTTATATCAGGGCTGATTGTGATTATTCAGAAGTGAGAGATATGGATGTATGGCATATGGTTAATAATTTAAGAAGTTAATAATTTAATAGGATTAAACCCTGACATTAAGAATTGGTTCTAACCTCTGGAAGATTATCTTGTAACTGATTTCAGTTTTAGGGGTTGCAATGTTTAGATTTTTTGTTTTTAAGGGGTAAATTGTGAAAAAATGCATGTTAAGAGAAGCAAACATTTGCTGACCTTTGTAGCTTTTTTATTTTTTCCAATAGATATCTATGAAATAGTGAATGGTTCTGGATCTAGACTTAGTTGCCTTTTGATCCTGTTTAAAACAGTGGGACCCAAATTCAACTAATTTCATCTGGATCCAACTCTTCATGTTCAAGAACTGATGCAATGATGTATGACTGAATTTCTAAATGAAAGCCCAGTTATCTTACAATCATGTTCTCACAGAAGCCTTCTTGTCTAGCAAGAGTAGTTGATGTTTCTGAGTAGGGAGACCGTAGCATTCTGCATCTGTTTAAAGGCACTCTTTACTCTAATTATTGTACTAGTACAGCGTGCAGAAAGGAAAAGAGTTTATCACTTAGAGTCCCACCATTGTACAGTGATATGGACTTGTGTTTTTCAGGTAAATTTGTGGTCTCTAAATCTGCTAATTCTGTGTTCTAAGACTTGTGTGTAAGCATCATGCTTAAAAACAATCTTTAATGTGCAATAGGACATGTTTTAGTAATGTTTTAAAAATTAGCGTGTGTGAATGTCGCTTACACCAAATATACACAGGTTTTCCAATGATGAGCTTCCAAGCTAATAGGCTGTGATCTAATTTGTTGGTATCCTAACATTTTGCCAGCAACTGTGCGCTACAGAGCAAACTACTTTCACCTCTGAAGATGGCAGCCACAATTGCTGGCAAAACATCAGGATACCAAAGAATTAGACCACGGCCTATTAGCCCAAAAGCTCATCACCATTGGATTGACGCTGGCTATGAAAGCCTGCATTGATATATACACAGGTTTTGTCTTTTTTAAAGCTTGAATACTGGTTGTACTTTTTGTATATACTGTAAGTCATTCTTATATATTTATTTTTACCATAAATCTTTGTCTTTAACCAACTGTTAAGCCAAAGATTTTTAATTAGTGAGCAATAGCATATCAAGGAGTTCAGTGAATAAAAACGAACTTTTTCCACCAAATGTGCCAATAACTTTTAAATTCCAATGACTAGAATATTCTCAGAAAGCTCTTCTTTACATATGTCTAATTATGTACTAGAGATGTGTTGTATCTTCTAAGTAATTTGTGCACTAATGCATACTTACAGATATTTATCTATAGAGGTTTTATATGACTAACTTAATTGAAAATATAGCAAGTGCTCATTGGGGTGGGGGAAAGGGCAAATATTTTCTTGTTCTGTGTTTGGAACAAAGTTAAATAGTGCAGAGCCTATAGCACTTGAAACAAAATCTAAATTCCAAAAATTAACTATGGTCTTTTAATGGTCCAGTTAAAGACTACTGAGTAATTTCCTACATTCCTGAAATTTAAGAATAATTCCATACAAAATGCCATTTGAAACTTGTAACAAATGTAATTACAGACTTATCATTTATCAAAATATTGGTACTGATTAAGAACTAGACACTTATTCTAGCATTTACAATGTATTAAATACCAATCGTCCATCAGAAGGTGGATTCTGGAACTGTCCAATGCAGGGCGTTGCAATTTAATTCCACAAAAAGTGTTTTGAGCACATGGGACCAAACATAGCACTATCTGTGCCTCTATAAAACAGTCATATCTTTTCTTGCAATCATTAGACAACTCCAGAAAATAGCTCTACAATCCTAGGAAAAATCACAATTGCTTAGGATTTCAGGTGGATGCTGTGTTTGTGGTCCTGTATACTCTGAAGTGCTTTTTTGGAATCAAATCCGAAGCACGGCACAGCGCTAATGGATGTTATTTAACAACAGATGAAAACTATGCAAACCTTTAAATATTTACCTTCAAAAACCAGGTATTATATGTCTTGTGCTGTATAGTCCAGTACAAAAACACATTGGCTTGGTGCAGGATGACAGTCTGTTCCAAGGTGTGATTTCTAGCTATTAATGTCAATTTCTATCATTCCACTTTTTATTATTATCCAAATAACTTTTTGACCACACATTTTATACAAATTATTTTTCATAAAGCTTTTTTAACTTAAAAGGTGTAAGCTCTTTTTTGAAGCTTCAGGTACAAATTTGATGCCTGACATTAATCCACTGAATGCTGCTGTTTTGTCATCCCCATCCACTTTATTTATATGTGGCCCATAAAAATAATCCCACAACAGTACGTATGATGGATAAATGTTATTTAAAACTCCATCTCTGAAATGGGCTTATTCAACTGAAAAAGTAACCGAAACACTACTGTAATGTTTTCATTAAAACTAACTTGTTGTTCTGGTGGCTTGTCAGAAAAAACAAATATATAATCAATAAGTAAAAGTGTCATCTCAAGTCACATCACTGGTATATACTCACTTTCCACATTAATTGTTACTAACATCTAATGTTGCATCATGTCTGAAAATTACCTGTGGATATGTCTATAAAAGTGTGAAATAAATTTTGTATGAAAAGCACTTTTTATGTTGGTAGTAATTATGTATTACATAGGTATTTTAAAATTTTATACGTTTGTTTAAACTTTGGAGGTGCCCAGCAGGGTTGGGTCACAGGTTCTATAGTTCTTTTGGATTTGGAAACAATGACCATACCAATACCAGTACTTAAGGCTTTATTCCAAGGTAATACAAGTAGTCCTTGTTGAACGACTACTGTTCGAAGTTACAGTGGCATTGAACGAGGGGGACTTATGACTCTTCCTCATAGTTGCAGCCATAGCAGCATCCCTTCCGTCATGTGATTGTGATTTGGGCATTGGCAACTGGCTCACAATTACGATGATTGCAGCATCCCACGGTCACGTGATTGCCATTTGCAACCTTTACTGCCAGCTTCCGACAAGCAAAGTCAATGGGGAAGCCAGCAGGAAGTTGCAAATGGCGATCATGTGACTGTGGAACACTATGACTGTGCAGGATTCGCCTAATGAGGGCAACTGGAACTGATGCAACAGCCTTTGTAAGTCAGTGTAGTCATGTGATGTCACATTTTATGACTACATTGCTTAGCAACAGAGTTGCTGGTCCCAGTTACCGTTGTTAAGCGAGGACTACTTGTATATGAAAATAACAATCACATAATATGAGACAGTAAACAGAGAATATACTGGTATACTGAAGAATATAACACAACCCAAGATAGCAATAAAAAATATTAACACAAGACACTTATTACAAATATTCAAGAAGACAAGAATACAATAAGAGAAAGAGTATGTCTGCCAGTCAGGAAACACCAGAGAGATGATGGCAGACAGATCTTCACAGCTCAGCAAATGTGTAGTACCCTCTCGATTAGGTTTGCACTGAAGTTCCATTTCATGGAGGGTTTGACTAGCTTATATAGGCTCTGAACCATAATTAAGCATACCAGTTTTTGAATGGTGTCATGTCACTGGATTTTACCAAGGACAAGAAGGACAAGTATATCTTATCTTGGAATGCTCTGCTGTTTTACCAAGAGGGAAACCATCAAGGTTCATGGTTGAAGAGCCTGCCAAGAAGGAGACCACCAAGTCTAAGGAGTCTTTGATGAGGTTATCTCAAAGTTAAGGAATATCCGTTTCTCAAGGTTAATTGAATTGAAGATGAGAAAGACCATCCTACTCTGCACAGATGTCTCACCAAGGACAGGGCAAAACAAAGTATGACCCAAGTATGGCCCTTAGTAAAATAAAGGCTGGCTTAATTCTGCTCTACATACTGAACTATTATATGAACCATACACCTAAGGGAATTATCCAATTCCTTCTTGCCTATAGGAGCTTCTATATAATATATACAGCAAAACACTTGTCTAATACAGCTGTGATATTCAATCTATAGCAAAAATGGCATTATATTCTATCCAACAAATATTGAGTACAAGAACAAATAAAATATTTTAGATTTAGATTGGGGACCACTTGCATTAAAAACAAGCAAGTGTTAAAATATATAATTCCAATGGTTTATACCATTCACCTATTCTAAGCCCCCTGTAAAAAAACACTGTATAACAGGCTTTCTGTCCAAGATACTATTCAGTTTATAGGTTTGGTCAATGTTACATAATTTGCATTCAACATTATGTAGCATAAAAAACATTTGATATTGAAGAATGGCTTTTTTTTTTTTTTTATTGAACACTCTAAAGCAGACAGAGAAACAAGATAAATCATGAAAAGAGGATAAAAGAAGATACAAACGAATAACCAAGGGATTTGCAAATGTCATGGAGGTTACACTTTTCCAGAATATCATTAGTTTGTTGTGAATAACTGAATATATTAAATCATTTAAAAAGACAAAAAAATCACTATGAAGTACTAAGCCAAGCATGAATATCAGTAACCATCATCAAAACTCTGTAAATCACCAAGTAAGTCACCTACAATAAATTCTATCCAAATTACTGAAAATCTCTTCTAATTTGGAAATGTTATAAAATTGAAGTATCAACTGCAGGCATAGAGAAATGCAAATTTTGGAAGTGGTATACCTATCTATTAAGTTATAGTCTAGGAATTGTTTCCAATTTGAATTAAATTCTTTGTCAAATTTGCTTTTAAAATACAAAGTTACCCTGGACATCCAAGCATACTCCCACAGCTTGGTTAGCCGTACTTCCATTGAAAGAAATCAACTTTTCGAGTACAAAACATACATCATCATTTTCTACTACAAAGTAGACACACAGCATGTATACAGCATATACAAAATTAATTCAATATATTTTGAACATATGGTTTAGTATTTAATAAAAATATTGCAGACTGAAATGGGAATTCAAGATTTTTTTTTTCCTGGTATGTATCATTTTCCAGAATTGTTGAACTTTGCAATATTGCCACCAGATATGAAAGAGTGATCCAAGCTACATATTAAGTATAATATTCAGAGTAAATTTAATATTATTCTTTTGTTAAAATTCCTGTTGTTGCATATCTATTATTAAGTTCCATTTGATTATATAATCTTTGAATTGTTTAATTTCTGGATCATACTTTATCAGCAATTTATAAATAGAGCACAGTAGATGTTCTGACTTAAGTGTTGTGGGATTCTCAAATTCAGTCAGGTCTCATAAGTGTCATGTTCTCCCTTGTTTATGAAGTTCTTTTAATACTATGCTACTTATTTGAAAATACTGAAACCAGTCAGGTAAACTAGACTTTATGAAGTAAGAATCTCAAATGGTTTTATCTTCATTGGATGAATTTCTTTTGTTTTCCTCATAAAAATAAACATTTAATAATGAAGCAAGAGGAGGAAAATCTGGGCTTATTCTTTTCCTGTAGATATCCCAAATGCTATAACATTACTTATTACTGCATAACCTCTTATAAATTGTTTCAGTTGGTATCAGCCCAAAAATATTTATGCAGACTATCTGAAAGTCCTGCTCCTTCCAACGAGGTAGTCAAGCCATAAGGAGATACAATCCACTGTGTAATCCATGTTAATCAATGTAGTACTGCTTAAAGTTTGGAGCCATCAGCCCATCTTGCTCTTTTAAGTTCTGCAAAATCTTCAATTTAATCCTTGATTTTTTAATAGGCCATATCTAATTTGTTTTTTCGTTTATGCCAGTCTGTTAATACCTTGTTTTATTCAGTTATATTATTACATTGCTTATTTTGTTACATTTTTTCACTATGTATTGAGATCATTTAGAAAAGAAAGTTGAGTCTTGATAAGATATTTAGCAGCTACAGTTCTTCTTAACCAAGATGAGTTTAATTTTTTTCATCTGGAAATAGTTGCGATTATATTTTTACAGCTCTGTAAATAATTATTTTAAAATATATCATTTTCTGTCAAGTAAATTCCTAAATATTTAACTTTTTTGCAGTAGTCTCCATTACTCCATTATTAAGATGCAGATATTGCTATTCTTCTGTTTTTTCCCTTTATTAATCTGGCACTGTAACCCAAAACAAGACCATATTGCTCCCTCTCTCTCTCTCTCTCTCTCTCCACACACACACACATATACACACAATTAACAGCATTGAGAAGTTTTTTTGACTAGGTACAATGCTGTCAACATAATTTCAGTTTATGTTCTTGAATTGGTAGTTTAACTCCTGAAATTTTATTTTCTTTACATATTTTCACTGCCAATAGTTGTAATGTCAGTAAAAATAGAGGAGGAGAAAGAGGACAATCTTTTCTTGTCTCCTTCAGTACAGTGCATTGTTGTGATAAAAATCCATTTATTATTATCTTGGCTTTTTCTAATAAATACTCTCTACCCATATGAAAAAGTTAGAACTACAACTCATTTTTTTTTAAACTGCAGACATAAAACCATTCTAAATTGTCAAGCTTGTTTGTATCAAGGAAGATTATAGCCACTTTTTTCTTTTAATTTATCCCTTTTAAATTAAAAGTTTTAAAAGTTTTATCTCATATCTCTCTGAAACAAATCTAGCCTGAACAGGATGTATAATTTCAGTTAAAAAAAATAATTTATTCTCTTTGCAAGTATTACCGTGAAAAGCTTATCTCTACATTTGATAAAAAGGGAGGTCAGTATGACTTTGGGTGAGTCAAATCCTTTCTTCTTTATAAATCAAAATGATAAAATCTTCTTTCCATGAAGAAGGAAGCTCTTTGCATTCTTAAAAGTAATTCATTACTTGAGATACAGGTTTATCCAGAAATTTTTGGAAAGTCTCCTAGTATATTGCAAAAATATTGTCAAGTCTAGAGTTTTATTCAATTTCAGATTTTTTACTGCCTCTTTAGTTTTATCTTCAGTTAAAGGTTAGTTAAGGACTGTTAGAATGCCTTTTTATAGAGATCTCTGCAGAGACCTAATTTTTGAGGTCTGGCTTCAGAATCTTGCCTAAGGTTCTGGTGATTAGGGAGCTATCAGAAAGGTTACATCTTAACAGACAAGGTAAAACTAAGCTATGATTTCAAATAATATTCAGTGGCTGTGTTTGCACAACATGGTTACCAATGGCTATCTTAACCAGAGTTTATTCCACTAAATTTTTGGTGTTTGCATGACCTCCTAAACCATAAACTGCATAAACTGGATTCACACAATGGCTAGGTTGAAAAGTGGTTGGCTGGTTTATGGTTCAGTACAGAGGGCCAAACCCATTTGTTTGGACTGAACAAATACAGAACAAGCCCTCAATTTACCAGACCTTAGTTTAGCAGATTTCAGATGCACTGGACAAAATCTATTCACCATTATCTATGCACAAAATATTACTATGCATGCATAAAATTCCATTTGCAATTTTATACCATTTAACTAATATTTAGGTGTAACGGATACTTTTTCCCCTCATTAGTCTGTTAAATTGAGTGTTTACTGTACTTTCCACTACATATGCTCAACAACTGAATTGGAAAAAAAGCTTAGGAGATTTAAAGCTAACAAACCAACTTTTGGTTTAAATTTAAAACCAGGAATTATGGGGGTTTACAGATGTACAAAGTAAAATGAAGAGGCAGCAGAATTAAACATGAGTATTTTTCTTAACTATGTAAAATAATTGATTAAAAATAGTGTTATAGGCAGCATAAAACAAAATATGTTGGGATGGTTAAATTAACTATTTCAGCTTGGTAGGACTGCAGGGGCTAAGATATATGTGCTATTGTACAGGATTCTGAAATGTTTTACCCCACTGAATAGGTGAGTTAGGGACCCAGAACTAGTTATAAATTCCTTTCCAAGTGATTCATAGGGACAGCTCTGTTAATAGGCAGAGTTACGTAAATCAGCAAACACTAGGGAAAAAGATTAGTGGCAAGGTATGGAAATGGGGAGAAAGGGTTACATGCTAGGCAGTTTACCTTGTAACCTCTGAACAAGGTTCTTATTCCTGGGCGGAATAGAATCACCTGATTGAAACAAGATTCAGTTGCTAATTCAGCAGGCTTTGTCTTTTGTTGGCCCTAATTATCTGAAACAGATGTATTTAGACTATGTGGATATAAAGCATGTTTTACTTACCAACCTAAAGCTATTACAAAAGAAGTTACTCTATATCACTTTGACTCCAGAATCTGTAAAGTGCAATAATTCTCTTCATTTTATCAAATAATAATAATAAAAAAACCACAACCCTTTAACTACCACTAGCAAAAGAAGAAATCAAGTCCTAACTAAAAGTGGCATTGTAATATACATCCCTATTGTATTCCTCCTGGTTGTGGGTGCTTGTTACAATTAACTTGAACTCTATTAACCCCAGGAGGTCTCAGCAGGGTTTCTCTCTCATACTACAAAACCCTGCTTGGTTTTAGAATTTCTTTTTTCTCCTTTCATTTTTTAATGCCTCTGAGGTAACATGATTGGGTGGAATGAAGGGGAGATAGAAGACAGCACAATCATTTGGTTAACAATTAAACAAATGGTTTAATTTACAAGTTCACTTGATTCTATAGCCAATCAATACTTGCCCACCTTGACAATAAATATATTGCTCTCCAATGGACAGTAGAGTCTCTCTCTACCTACACCAGCAAGTCCTTCTCTTCAAGTCTCTTCTCCCTCGGGAATAGCTTTTCTCAACCTTAACAACTCTAAGATGGGTGGATTTCAACTCCCAGAATTCCCCAGCCAGCACATCAGAGCACAAAGTTGGAGAGTGGCAGCGTAGGCCTCACTTGCTCAAATTATCAAGGGATCAGCTCTTACCTAGGCTCCAGGCCTACCGGTAGGTCCTGTGTCTTTTTTTTTTTTTTTTTAATTCAATG